GTGGTTTAGGGGGTTTAGGGTTTTAGTAATGCTACTTATCATAAGAATAGTACTGAAAACAGTAACAATAAACGGCCTCCCAATTTTGCCACCGGATGCGTACACTGGGCAATACTCCCCAGCAACAGTGTATAGACATATTAAAACCGATGATGACGTCCTGGAGCTCCAAGGAACTGCGAGGGGTTAACAGTTCCCAGGTAGTCGAGTATAGTCCTTAATATAATTCCTACGAAGAACGCATGTCCACTACAGTTGTATGAGCAATTGACTGTAGCTCACAGGGGGTCACTTTCGGTTAGCCGAGGTCGTGCGACGCTTCCAGCGCCTGAGCTTGGGAGACTCGGCATGTTCAGCACACGGTTGGGGGATTTGATTCTGGATTCAGGGGTATTGTTTCTGGGTGAGAGGTTTGGTTTTAGGTGTATTCAGGGTTACGAGGTGACGGATCCAGGGGTTTGGGGTCTAGAGTTCAGGTTTTGGGGCATAGGGTTCCGAGCTGAGGCTTTAGGCTGAGTCACCAAAAGCAGCGGGGTCTTAAGTAGATTACGCTTCCTGCCACATTCCCGAAGATTTGCCTATCATGTGGTCATGCAAAGTTTCGCCCAGCAATCACAATGAATTCATGCTCGTCGTGCTTCATGTTCTTCTGCAGGCTTCTCTCGTCGAACCGCTACTTTGTCCCCAGAAGCTGAACTCTAAACCTTGATCCCTAGACGCAACTCTGTTAAATACAAACCTTTATGGATGGAAAGCCCCTGGAGGGATTGCAGTTTCCGATGTGACTTCGAAAATTCTGCAGGCCACCATTAAGAGGTGCTTTAGCTTTCGGAGGGGTCCACTCTAGCCCTACTACCCCCCGGACACCGATATCCAAAAAACCCAGCCTAGACCTTCAACCCTACCTGGACCCCAAAGGTATGTAGAATAATGGCCTTTTGGGGTATCATGTTGGGTTTTGGGCCATTATTTTACCTACTTTTGGGGTTTAGGTACACTTTAAACCCTTCTAGAGGGATTTGGTAACCGCACTTGCCCAAACGACAGGTGAAGGCTTTGTGCCCCTAGGATGTCTAAGCTTGTAAGTATGGGCCTCTTATAGGGGCCCTGAGCTGGAATTGGTGGATTCTAAGGGCCCTTAAGGGTGTGCTTTTATATAGATAAGAGGTACCTAGAGAGTATATGGTAGTTTTATAAAATAGGGGGACCCCAATATAGACCCAAAATACTATGATCCTTATTATGGGGACCCCCAAAAAGGTACCCCTAATTTTAGGAAACCCCCATATACTAGATGCGGCTTAGGGTTCAGGGTTTAGGTGTGTAGGGATTCCAAGGGTTAAGGGCCCACACCCGGGCCCCATGCTGGGGGTTTAGGGATCCTAGGGTTTAGGATCATAGGGTTTAGGGTTTAGGTAGGGTTTAGGGGTTTAGGGGTTTAGGGTTCAGGGGTTTAGGGTTTAGGATGCACTTCGGGTATCAACTTGTTGACTGCTATACATATGAGCTATGATCTAAAGTGCATACAGGGGGTAATATGGGGAACTATGTAGGGGAGCATTATAGGGATTTCTGAGGGGCATGCTAGGAGTTTAGAGTGTAGCTCGTATGCCAAAGCTGTCCTGATACCGAAAGCCATGAAAAGCCTAAATCCTAAGCCTTAACCCTAGGCCTGAACCCTAAATCCTGAGCCGAAGACCTTAAATCCTAAACCCGAGCTCCTAAACCCTCAAGCCTCCGTAAATAAAAGTTGTATAGGGCACAAGATGCGGTCAACATTTTCGCAGAACTTCAGGCCTGATCAATTACTAGTATAAAGTCCCTGTCTCCTGTCGATTTGATTTCCCGTTCTTCTGATTATAATAAGGCCCCCCCAACTCCAAACCCTACTGAACCCCAGTGACCCTTTACAGGAACCCTACACTACCCAAAAGAAACAAAAGGCGAGGGTCTGGAGAAGAAGGAGGACGACTTCGCGGCAGGTGTCGAGAAAGAGCTGGCCAAGTACAAGAGTCTGGGCTCAAGGAGGTTTTAACGTGAAAGATCCTACCGCAAATCCGGTAGCCTAACTGAAAGCTTTGAGGTAGGGGCGCCCCATTCCCATAATCTGGATCCCAGTATCAGGGGGTCTATAACGGGGCCCCCTACTTCGAGAGACCTCTGCACACATCGCACACAGGACATCATTCTCGATTTGTTTGACATTCGTTGCCTTTGTAGCTGTGCCTCATGACAGCAACAACTCTTCCGCCCTTAATGAAGTGGGTTGCTGTTAAGGTGCTTACATGGTGTTGCCAAAAGATGGGTAAATGATAAGTAATAGGGATGCCTCATTGCAGTAACTTAATTAAAGTTCCTTATCAGCAAGCCTTAAAACAGCGCCCTGGAAGCCTGGTGCATGGTGTTCCTGGCATGTTATCTCCTTAGCTACCTTCCTACTTGCCAAGAGAGATTGGTCATTTGGTTGCTGCTAAGTGGCAGAATTCATATGGTTATAGGGCTCCGACGAATTGCATGTACCAAGCTGCTGAAGACATCTGGGACCCTGATACAATATGGAATTCACCAACAGGACGTGGTCAGCATGTTTGTGTGTCGGGTCCCTGAGCCTCTACGCCACAAATCCGGATGCAACACTCTGGCCCTAAGGGTCCAAGTACCCAATATTCATATACTTAACCCGAATCTGTACTATAATTAGTATTACCAATATCCCAAGTACCTAAATACTGGGTACATGGACCCTTAGGGTGGGAGCCAAGGAACGCCGGAGGTGAGGCAAAGGAAGAGAAGAAGGAGGAGAAGGAAGAAAAGAAGGAAGAGCCCAAGGAGGACAGAGTTATACGTTTAAGGCTTAGGATATTAAGGTGAAGGGTTGGAGAGGCTACGGGTCTGTTTTGGGGATATTTTTGGAAGTTCAGGTTAGGATCACTTAAGGCTTTAGCGTTTTGCACGCCTCGACTATTCAGGGTTCAGGGCTTAGGGATGCTATCCCAATAATGGAAAATCAAACGGAGAGGAAAGAGGGGAACAATGGACACGGGGATTACATGTTTTTTACACATACATGGCACTAGGCCTCAGGGAGGCAGTGATTGAGATAAGTCGTACCCGGATCGGACGGTGGTAGCGATTGCGTTGATCATCAGATTGAAGGAAAGGGATGGTCGTTTATGGGAGTTTGCCCGAGTGAGGCGTGTAAGATCCTTAGGAGCCTCGCGCCTTAAACCCTAAGTCCTAAGCCCGAAACGCTAAGCCCTAAACCCTAACCACTAAACCCTAAACCCTAAGCCCAAACCTTAAACCCTAGGGCCATTCCATGGTTTTGGGATCCTCTGCGTAGACCTGTTTAAATTCAAAGGCACCCCTCCCCCACCCCACAAAAGGCGATCTTCCGGGGCTGGGAGCAAGTTCTGGCGCCTGACACAATTTACACATATGCGTATCCCCAGCGGTCCAAGTAGCCCAAAGTAGGTAAGCAGAACAGACTTTAGGTCCCAAAGTAGGTGTTTTTTGTAGACTTCACGGATCCCCAGGGTATGCATCACTTGCTCTCCTGTTTCATAGTTCTGCTATTTCATCGTTGTTATAAAAAACCCTAAACCCCTAAACTCCTAAACCCTATAAAAGACCGGCAACAGGTTTTGGGGTGCGTCCCTAGACCCTGGAGTCCTCAAAGCCTAAGCCTTAAACCGTCGAGAAACGCTAGCTCCTAAGCCCTAGATGCCAAACCCTAAGCCCTGAACCCTAAGCCCTAAACTTTAAACCCCTAAACCTCAAAACTGTAAGCCTCAAAACCCTAAGCCCTAGGGTTTAGGATTTCACGTTGAGGGTTTAGGTGTGAGGGGTTAGGGCGAGGTTGGAACATTCCCGCTGGCAACAGCTGTCCTTAAAGGGGCCTCACTAAGAGGGTGATAGAAGTCCTATCACTCATTACGGTAACAATTGCTGTCAGGGGGAATGACCTACGGGTACAGGGTTCAGGGTTTATGGTGTAGGGTTTGGGGTTCAGGGTGTAAGGGAACCAGTCCTGCCATCTTGGGCGGACCCAGAAAGGGTGACCGACTTGGTGACACGGCCGTTTCAATCGGTTTAGGATTTAGGGTGTAGGCCCTGAACCTAAACCCGAAAGCTAAACTGAAGAGGTCATGTAGTCTCTTAGGCATCTGAAGCAGGCCAATTGCCAAGCCTCTTCCTTTTCACAGCCTCTTCTGGCTCTTAAGGTTGCATCTTCATTCTCACACAGCAGACAGGCATGCTGTCTTTGGACTCCTTTGGACCTCAGCTTAAATCCTAGACCTTTTGGACCCTTAATCCTCAGCTTAGCGCATAGACTCTAGAGCCCCTGGATACTGGATCCCACCCAGACGCGCCCTGAAAGGAAAAGAAGGAAGAGGAGAAGAAGGACAGCTTTACGCAGGGCAGCCTCGTTCCGTGTTTGGAGTGGTAGGCTCTCTCGGGAGCTACTCCAAGGTTCCCCAGTCCCGGTCACAAGACACCTCAAGCAGAAGCTGCCTAGAAGTCTGAAGAACCATCAAGCATACGCAGGATGCGGAGCATTCTGCATGAAGCTGAGTACCTTATACTTTCGGAAAAAGCTTACTATAGTATGGAAAGACCATGCAGGTTTTTTAGTATCAACAGTACGTAAAGTAGGTGACGTGTTGTTCCTATTCTATTTTGAGGCGGGGTCCCTAGCCAGTATCAACCTCAAGCCTTTTCGGCTGAAGCCCTATCAGCAACACTCGAATTTGTTCTAACACTGGAACCTGACACCCTGGAACCCACCTGAACCCCAAATGAACCCAAAATTCCTGGGGTCAAATCCTATAAGCCCCCAAGGCGCATTCAAACTTATTTGTCCCTGGAGTGGGTACTCTTTTTCTGTCACAGGCATGGGAACAGTAGCCCCTACGGTAGGCCCAGTACTGGGGCTTGTTCTCCCTGCGATCAGTACTGGTCACCTGTCATTACCCCAAACCCCAAGCCCCTAACCCTGCAGGCCCTTGGTTGATTTTTTCAGGTCCCTTTTGGGGGCCACCAAGGGGTCCGAGACCCTGCAAGTCTGGGCCGAATGTTGACAGGACCATGAAGAGGTAGGGCTCTCTTGAATAACGATAGCATGCAGAGGCTGCAGATGAAGACAAATTTGTGTTGCTGACCTAGATGGGCCTTATTGTTTCTGGTCCCAAGCCGAATAGGTTTGAGTGGTTCAGCTGCCTGGGATGGCGTAGGGTGGGTGACTATGTTAGATGGACACCCGCAATCGGGCCACTGCGGCATGCCGCACGGCACGAAGCACTCGAAGCAACTCTGCGGCATCACCATCTCTTCTTCACCGCCACATCACAGCAAACTCGAAAACCTAAGTCCTAAACCCTAAGCCCTGAATCCTTGAAACCCAAAACCCCAAATCCTAAATCCTAAACACCTAAAACTGTGAACCCAAAGTCCTAAACCCTGAACCTAAGTGCTAAACCCTAAACCTTAATGCTCCTGCTCCTGATGGAGGAAGAGAAGCCGAAGGTGGCTGTCTCCGCTGCCCAGGTGAAGGAGCTCCGCGGAAGGCGATCTTAGGGTTTATAATATGAGCTATAGTCTAAACTCCTTAAGAGGGGTTATATAGGGGATAATATAGGGGACTATTATAGTGGTTATTAAGGGGGATACTAGGAGTTTCGACTTTAGCGCATATAGGGTTTAATTTTTAAGGTTTGAGATTGAGGGTGTAGCATTGAGGTTTTAGGGTTTAGGATTTGGGTTTTTAAGATGCAAGGCCCCGTGCTCCCGTCTCCCCTGATCCTCGAATTATCTTCATTAAGGCGGTGTCGGTAATTAGGGAAACCTGACGCACCTAGGCGTATGTTGTCATACATAGGGACGTATAGGGAGATACAAGATTTTACAGATGTATGTGGGGTATGTATGAGTAAACCGATTGTCAAGAAGTACGTGTCAGTTCCTGGGACCAGTGTTAGCTGTCGCTTGGGTGTAGTCATTGAGGGGCGTTGATTTCAGTCTTGATTTTTAGGGTTTCGTGGATTTCGGGCATGGGGTTTCATGTTCAATGATTTGGGGTTTAGGATCTAGTGAGTTTAGGGCGTGGGAGTCAGGCAGGGTTCAGATGGCTTAGGTCTGCAGACTTACGTAAGGTTCCGCTTTCTTCAAATGATGCTAGGCCAATTTATTGGTGCAAACTGAACTTACCAAGGACCCGGCTTCAGGATATGAAGTCCAGGGAGCTGGGTTCAGGATTCGGTAGAATCAGGGGTCTAAACCCTAAGCTGGAGGCTCAGGAATTCGGGTTCCGGGGCTAGAGGTAAAGGCTTCAGGGGCAAATGTCTCAAGGTAGAGGAAGTATTGTAGCTGGGTTGCGGTCCTTGATTGAGGTACACTACGCTTTCTGATTTGTCGCCTGTGTGGGATGTGGAGATCTTGACCGGTTGGCCCACATAAATAAGCCACCCCGGGCCTTCTGAGGTTAAATGTTCCGTAAGAGATATTTATAAATTGGGGCACATTAAGCATTATGGGTTGGTCGGGTGTTTGATACGAGGGCGAGTTGATTCCTTTGCATGCTGGCTCAGGTCCGGCGCTGGCATTCTCGATGCCAAGAAGGCCAATATCCCCAGCTAGCATGGAATAGCCTTCTGTGCTTGAGTGATTGCTTGGAGCCTTAAGCAGGTATAGGGGTGAGCTATGAAGTATCTTTCGCTTACTTGCGCTAGAGGAGGAGCTGGGAGTGAATACAGTATAGGGACCAATCAGGATCCCTACGGTGTATGACTCTTGCCTCTGCTATGCCCTTTCGCCCGTGCAAACCTTGTACAGTCATAACATCTCTCCAAGTTTCTATTCCCAGCCTTAACGCCCCAACATACCGCCAGAATCTAGGCCAAACGCTAGGTAAGTGTTTGATACACTCATAACAAATCCACAGAGGTAGATTATGTTGGTCCAGGGACACTCTGGGACAGGACGGTCTGGTGCTTGAGGGTGCCTTTCTGGGCATCCCAGAACAAGGAGTATCATATTTTGGGGTGTATAACAGGCATCTTAAGTTTTGAAAAGCTACCAGCTGTTACTGGATTCACTGCATCTGTTGTTGCATGGAACCTCACTCATGACTATAAAAAGAGCCTTCTTATTCCACTGCCGTGCAAAAGGGAAGTTTAACAAAGTAATCCGGTATAATTCCTATAAGAAGGACCTCCATAAGCTCAGACCCGTTCGAAACAATCCCCACGTACCCTAAGCCTTCAAACATGAGCCATGACCTATAACGACTAAACCCTCATAGCGAAGACCCCCGCGCAAGCCCAAACTCTAAGAGCTCGACTGTCACCAAATCCCAAGCCGTAAATCCTGAACTACCCTACGGCAATGAGATGTAAGTTGGGCCCGACATGGGCTCCCACATGTGCACTTTGGGCCCTTACAAGGCAGATCTCAGAGGGCCCAAATATTGGCCCCAATATCTATAATCGTTTTTTGGTAGGGACTCTAAACTTTCTCTGTGAGGCAAAAGGGCTCCTGATTGTTTGGAAGGCTTCCCATCTCAATCCTCTAAACCCTTAACCCTAAACCCTAAACTAAACCCTATTCCCGCCCCTCAATCCAACCCTAAGCCTCCTGCCTTGCAGGCCCTGACGGAGTGCGGAGGAGATATGGACGAGGCCATGGAATGGCTCAAGAAGACGCTGAGATTGAACTACAATTCCATGGGGTTTAGGGTTTAAGGTTTAGGGGTGTAGGGTTTAAGGTTTAGGGTTTAACCCCAAAAGTATGTAAAATAATGACCTTTATGGCTATTCTTATGGGTTTAAGGTTATTATTTTACATACTTTTGGGGGTTTAGGTTTAGGGGTTAGGGTTTACAGTAGTTTCCATTTCTACTTTCCATGTGATTCTCCGTCATTGTGTAGTATCTCTATATAATCCCTGTATATCACCTTTATATACATATCTACATATATCTAGACACACACACACACACCTTATCATACTATTATACTACGGCAGTTGCTGTTCTCTTTTCCACAATGTTAAATGCATACGCTGGGTGGCGCTTTGGCAGAGTAATTCATTCCCCCTGTTGATAGGCTCACGAGGGCGCCTGTTCATGAGAAGTTCTGGGGGCCTTCAAGGTACAAGCCCATACAGAGAGCGCTCGAAGTCCAGGATAGAGGTTTCTGGGGCAAGGTTTGTGCGTTGGGGGCCAAGGCTCTTGGGACGCCCTTGATGGGGAGTTTAGGGTGTAGGGTTTAGGGCTTGGGATGTTGTAGAGTCTATAGCTTTAGGCCTTGAGGCATAAAGTTGGGATTGAGATCCTAAACCCTCAATCTCAGGAAGGGCATGGCCAAGGCGGACAAGAAGGCTGGCAACCTGTCCTCCGGCGATGCAAGCAAGCTTTCCTTTGGTTGAGAGTTTAGGGTTTTGGAGTTCAGGGTTTGGGTTTCAGGGTTAAGGGCTGGTTTGCCGCTAAGGCGCTGAGTTTCAGCTACCATGTTATGGGTATTTCGTAAATAGTAAGGTTTAGGGTTCAGGGCTTAAGGAATTTGAGGTATTTTGTAAATAATAGGGTTCAGGGTTTAAGGAACTTAGTTTGAGCCACTACATCCTGTTTATTTAGTAAACCTTTTCAGGGTTTAGGGAAGTTAGTTTAAATTACCATATCATGGGTATATAATACACAATGTGGTCTCCATATTATAGTACTTTATCAGAAAGGGACGCGGTGGAGTAGTTTGAAAAAGAGATGTTACAGCAACCCAGTTTATTGATCGCGGCTTGAGAGTTGGGGCACCCTAAACCCTAAACCCTCCACAAAGGGAAGGCTCCACGGGATCCTAAGGATATATCGGTACAGTAGAAAAGGTTTAGAGTTTAGGGTTTAGGGGTTTAGAGTTTAGGGTTTAGAGTGATTCTAAACCCTAAGCCCGAAGCATTCTAAGATAAAAGGTACCTAGGCTCACGCAGGAGTCAATGTCAGCCCTACAACCAAAGCTCTAAAATGGGTTGGTGTCAAGGCATTCGAATTGAGTTACCATCATGGGTATATATAGTAACCACTATGGCTCCCCCATTATAGCAACTTGAATTAAATTCCTGTACAGCAACCCAGAAAAAAGGTCGGCGGAGGGCGTGATTGCCTCCTACGTTCACTTCAACTCCAAGCTGGGCGTCCTTGTGGAGGTCGGGCGGTTTAGGGTTCAGGGTTTAGGGTGGTGTTGAGGCTTCTGCTTAGGCGGTTGAAGATAACCCAAAGTAGGTGTTAGTAGGTTTTATTTACAGAGTTAGAGCCCACTGTTTGGGTAGCTGGCTTTTCAGGTTTGGGTTCGACTTATCGGAGCTCGGGGCTTGGGGTCCAGAATCTAGAAAATCTTTCAGGACGTAAGGCTTGCAGTGAAAGGTTTGGAGGCTGAGACTGAAGTGTTACGGTTTGGGATGGCTACCTTGCAATTGCTAAACCCTGAACCCTAAATCATGATAAATCATGATGCCGAGCTCCTGGCAACCTTACGTTTGAGGCATCGGATTTAAGCGCTGGACGTTCCTTCAGGTGACTTAAGACGGTTTGCCACTTTCTCATGAGAACCTTCCTCCAAAGTTGCACTAGATTTCTGGCATCTAAAGCCAAGCCCTAAACCCTACATATCTCTAACCTCTATGTTGTTAAATGCCCCTGCAACGGAACATAAGCTTTCGAATTTTGATACTGCCGCCACCCTCCTTCACAATCCTCCATACTCGAGCTGTTGTAATCTCATACCCTTGAGGGTCCTCGACGTGCTGTCATCGCCGGGGCTAGTGTTGAACCTGACAGCCCTGAACTAATAAGGGGATTTTGGTAACCCCAACCCCCAATATTAGGACCCTATGACTATCATATGATGGTTATAGGGTCCGAATTTAGGGGGTGGGGGTGGGGTTACCAACATACCCTTGAGGTGCATGTTGTTCAGGCTTTGCGGCCCTCGCTGTTAAGCTTGGAAAATACATGCTCTGAATATGGAACATTACAGGACTTGAGCAACATCTCCTTTGGAATGCTGAAGGTAATTGCAATACCTAATGTGCAGTGTTATGGGGTGCCTCAGTGGTGCACGCATGCTGTCCCTAGACCCTGCAAATCCTGTAAACCCTATAAGCCCTATAAACCCTACAGCTCCATAGATGCCATAAGCCCTATAAACCCTACAACCCCATAGATGCTATAAGCCCTATAAACCCTACAACCTCATAGATGCTATAAACCCTATAAACTCTATAAACCCCATAAACCTATCAAGCTATAAACCCTAAACCTACTTTGGGGGTCCAGGTAGGAGGACAAGGTTGAAGGCAGAGGGAGGTCAGGGACGGTAAGCATGCAACCTCCTACCCGGTTTAGGGTTTAGGATTTAGGGTTTAGACTTTAAGGGTACCTTAATCAACCCGTATTTGGGTACTAATAGGGAATTTTAGGGTCTTATAGCCAATAGTGGACTGTCGTCTTTGGAATGAACCCTTATCCTACGGTTTAGCGGTTTTTTGGGTTTAGGGTTTAAGGTTTAGGTTTGGTTGCCCTTAGAGGTTTAGGGTTTAGGGTTGGTTGCCCTAGAGCTCTAAGTTTACAAAGAATTCCTAAATTGGGCTTGAGTGTCTGCAGCAGTGAGACCTACCTTGTGCTCTTTGGGGAGGGTTTAGGGTTGCGCTGAAACCAGGAACCTTCAACCTTGCCCCTCAAAGCTCTATAAACTGTAAACTTTTACAGTAGAAGCCCGCATAATTACCAATGCAGCTGCCTCCTGCACCCCATGGAATTGCCTTAGAAGGTTCCCAAAGACCTTCTTCTAATGATTTATAGACAGGTTCCTACATTACATGGTATACACTGTTTACCCGGCCCTCCATAGGGCTTAGGAATCACTTTTCAAGCGCCTGTGGGGAGGTGAACAGTGAGACTGACTTCGTTGCCATCAATGCAATCTTCAAGGCTCTCAGGGTTCATGGCTTCCCCTAGGTTTAGGGTTTAGGGTTTAGGGCAAAGCTTAAGCCCCAAACACTCAAACCTTAACCCTAAGCCGCTTGGGATACTTTCACCTAGCTTTGCATCTGAGAGTGTGACGATGGGAGAGGTCGGAAGGGTCAGTTCATGAGGGCAATACGGACAGAATCAGCTCTGACTAGCCCTTGACTGTCCGGAAGGATTTTCTGATAAAGGCACACCTTATTCTGACGGTTTGAGTACCACAGGGAGATATACTTTTATACCCCCTAAACTTATACTGCAATTATGCTTCCCTCAGCCACACGCACCCGACTGTGGAGTACTTGGACCCTACGCCCTAAACCCTAAATCCTACACATACTTATCTCTCCCAATGTACTACGCACACATACGTCTACATATGTATATACACGTGTGTATGTATATATATATATATACACGTCTCTCTCTCTCTCTCTCCCTGTAAAGGGACCTTGAGAACTGAGACCCAGGGAGGAAACTATGCCCCCGTTAAATTTGGCCCGATCTGCATGAGCTGCTGGTAGGTAAAAAGTTTTCCGGCTTAGGGTTCAGG